CTTGGCAATCGTACAACAGAAATACATGTTACTCATTATGCAAATACTGTAACATGTAGGTTAGTCATATTAAAATATTAAAAATAAGGGCATTGGCTATCATTACTAAATAAAATAGCACATTACAACTGACATGGTTACTTTTAACACTTTATGGGCCCATTCACACAACGCACTTCTAGAGCTATGATTTCACTTTAACATCTGTGAGATCCTTCTCTGGAATCCTGGGACTTGTAGTCTGGTGAAGGCAGTAGAACCCTGGCTGTGATTTTTAAATGCCTTCCCATAAATTGTCAATATCAGAACTCCACAGGACAAAATATGGCAGTCCAAGTGGAAGAAAGATATTTGTGTAGTATGAGGCTGCATAGACACTGCAGAATTAAATCAGGTTGACACTGTTTTAATTGGCATGGCTCTATGGCCTGGGATTTATAGTTTTGTGAGATATTTACCCTTCTCTGTCAGAAAGCTCTGGTGCCAAAACAAATTTTTAAAATACAGAATTCAATACCATGGAGCTACGAGAGTTAAAGGGGTGTCAAACGGCATTAATTTTGCAGCGTAAATGGAGTCTGAAAGGCCCTATGTCCAAGCTCTGGTCTAATGATAGGAGTGACCCTGTGGTACCCCATGTATATCAAGGGTCCCGCTCCAAGAGTAATAGAGGAATTTCTTTAAATCTGACTGTAGAAACAGGCTACGGCATTATTAAACTTTCAAAAAGAACCCCTTTTCTTTGGCACTGCTCTTGGCTCTCAGAAACTGTGCTCCTGAAGGATATAAATGGAATGACTCTCAAAGCCTAAACCCCTCTGGCACAGGTAGACCTCAAAGTATCTCTGAAACTTGATAGAAGCTAGGTAGGATGGAAGGGAGGGGGAATAGGAATAATCTATAAAGGGAGACCACATAGGAAGGTGAAATTCTGAATTCTTCAACCATAAAAAGAAAGTAGCAAGAAGAAATGGGGATGGGGAAGAGATTGAATAAATCTTTTTTTTGAAGTATACAAAATAGCCACAAGAATATCTAGGTCTCTTTTTCTTTTAGTGTTGCCAAGGAAACAGGTACCAGCTCTTGCTCCGATATAGCTAGTGTAATAAAAACACAATTATTTAATTGTCTTAGCACAGTTAACTCCAGCTTGATATCACAGGGCTAGTCCAGGTTGAAGTGAGCTATACAATAAGCCATGTTGCCCTCTTCAGACAAAATTTTCAACAGAAAGAGAAAAGGAAACGTCACGATTAAAGCACAGGCTGAATAAATTTCTGAAACCAGCATAAGATGACTATGGTTGCATCCGCACTGCTGAAACAATGCAATTTGACACTACTTTAACTGCCATGGCTCAGTGCTATGGAATTCTGGGCATTGTCGTTGGTTGCCACAATGCCCAGAGTGCCACAGTATTGAGCCATGGCAATTAAAGTGGTGTCAAACCACATCATTTCTGCAGTGTAGATGCAGCTTGCGTTTCCCAAACTCAGCTTGGTTGCAATGCAGAGATCTTTAAACCTGGAGGAGGATAACATTTAACATCAGGCCAACTGATGTCCAGTTTTTACTTGCCTTGGGAATTGGATCAGAACCTTTAGCAGAAGGGGGAAAGACAAATATTGAGTGATATTTTCTTATTTATCTCCAAAGCCGGAACGTAAGAGCATAAGGTGAATGTTAAGAAGAACCACCTTGAAACAGGAAAAGGGCCTATGCAATCCAGATTTCAGTTTCCAAAGAGGCACATGAGATAAGTTACCGTATTTTCCGGCGTATAAGACGACCGGGCGTATAAGACG